AATAAATAACAGAAAATAAATTGTAGCTATGTGTCGATTCCGCGCGACACGTCCGAACATGTAAGCTGAACAATAGTGTGGGGGGAGTGAGTAATCAAAAGTTGCATGGCGCTCAAACAAAAGACGAATCGACGAGATTTGAAAATCGCGTAACTCCGGGTTCGCGTAAGTCGGGGTAGCGTAAGTCGAGGTATTACTGTATATAAAAGTGGGGAATATCGCACTTCTGATAATCGCTGCGAGTGTGTGGGTTAAATTTGGAGAATCCGTGCTTCTCACATGGACAACTGTATGTGGCCAGCTCACGCGTCGGAAAATCTTCTGATTTATTCGTGTAGGCACCAGACCGAAAAACAAAAAAATATCATGTATCCACAAGCACTCCAATAAATAGATAGAATTGAAACGACACTTTGAAATGTTTTTCCGATGAAAATGAATAATAATAATAAGTTTCAATAAAAATAATAAAATGTAAATTGAATTTCATCATAACGAGTTTGCTTGAATTTCCTTTCTTCTGAGATCGCAGCAATGCGCGACGGGTAAGCTAGTATTGTATAAAAGATGATTGATCTGTTGCCTACATATAATTTTTTATTAAAAATAAATTTTTATAGTATAGTTTCAGAACAATTGTGATGTTCATAGGACANAGTTTGCTTGAATTTCCTTTCTTCTGAGATCGCAGCAATGCGCGACGGGTAAGCTAGTTTAATATAAAACTAACAAACTTTCTATTTTAGAAATGTATTATATTTTAATAACTCAGAACTAGGATAAATTGAAGTTCATGATCACGATTAAAACAAAGGAATTAACACCACTTAGATAAAATTTAAAGCGATTTATACCAAACTTAGATACTTAATTCTCCTAACTTTAATTACTTTTATAATTTCTGTTTCAATTGGCATGTTTTCATTCATTCGTTATTATCAATTGAAAGAAACAAGCAGCTCTTCGCTTGCCATTCGTCATTTGCAGACGAACGACAACCCAGAACTCACCACGTGGAGGTGGCTGCTTCAGAGTTCCACCAAGAGTTGGAAAGAATGCAACTTTATAAGCGACTGACATCACTTGTCCAGTTTCATTCATCCTAACTCACACAATGAAAATATTTATAATTTCCTCTGAATGCTTCAAATTAAACTATTCGAAACTCGCCGTATCGTTACTATCTAAACTAATGGATACAATACTACAACTAATAATAATGATAGAAAGAAAGCCACTAATGTGCCAGGTCTTAATAAAATGGACGTTAGGGCCACAAAATTTACTTCAAATAAATACCGAACCTCAATAAACAAAAAATTCTCGCCCTGCGCGAAATTTAATATTACGGGACACAGAAAGCCCGCATCTTTATAGACACGCGGGAGTAGAGGCCAACGAGAAATGGAGAGTGCACCGAGTGTCCCACATGTTTAAGGCCCGCTCGGGTAAAAACAGAAGACGCCGAGGAAAGGCGGAGAAGGCTCTCTGTGTCCTGAATCATTAAGGCTTGCTTGGGTGAAGACAGGAGATGCTGACGGGGTGAAGAGAATTCTCTGTGTCACGTTTCGTTAAGGCTNTCAATTGGTGATTAAGCTTTGATGAAAGAAAATAAACCATTATATCAAGTACGTTAGACTAGTTTTTCAAGACAAGTTATAAGTAAAAACCAAGTGAATAAAATCAAGATTATTCCCTAGTTGCATAGATTGCTATAGCCTCATGGCGTTTAATAAGTAGTAGAAAAGAAGAAAAAATTTCTTTATTTTTTATAAGATCCTCTTGTTTGCATGGCCAATTGAGGTTACAATTGAGGCCAACAAAGAGCCTTCTCCGCCTTTCCTCGGCGTCTTCTGTTTTCACCCGAACGGGCCTTAAACATGCAGAACACTCGGTGCACTCTCCATCTCTCGTCGGCCTCTTTACTCCGCGGGCCTATAAAGATACGGGCTTTCTGTGTCCCGCATCTTTAAGGCCCTCGCGGGTGAAAACAGAAGACGCCAAGGAAAGGTAGAGTAGGCTCTTTGTGTCCTAAAGCCCGCTCGGATGAAGACTGAAGACGCCGAGGAATGGCGGAGAAGGCTTCTGTGTGCCACACGCATATTTAAGGCCCGCTCGAGTGAAGACAGAATACGCCGAGGCAGAGAAGGCTTTCTGTGTCCCTCATCTTTAAGGCCCGCTCGGGTAAAGACAAAAGACGTCGAGGAAAGGCGGATTCTCCGCCTTTCCTTCATCCGAGCGGACCTTAATCATGCGGGACACTCCGAGGACTGTCCATCTCTCGTCGGCCTCTTTACTCGAGCGAGCCTTAACGAAACGTGACACAGAGAATTCTCTTCGCCCCGTCAGCATCTCCTGTCTTCACCCAAGCAAACCTTAATGATTCAAAACACAGAGAGCCTTCTCCGCCTTTCGTCGGCGTCTCCGATCTTTACAATGGTTTACCTACAACAGAAAAAACGAACAATACATTGTAACAATTCGTTACGTATTGTTAGAATATATTTTTAACAACGTGTGACGTATTACGATCACATCATGATTTTACGTCACGTGTTACGTAAATATATTAATCGGTTTGAAATATTTCAGAAAGGATTATTTTATTAAAATAATATTTATTAGAAACAGGATTAGTTTAACTTTTTAAATATAATGATTTTTTCTAATAAATAAAATTATAAAAATGAAATGTACAGATGTCCAGCACACAAAGTTATTTATATATATAAAAACAAACAGTTGAAATATATTCTTTATATATCACTTAATATAAAACTATCAAACATCTCACTGTAGACATACAGTATTATAAAATCTAGTAAATAATGCATTTGGTATTTAATGAAACAAATGTATTTGATGACAATGTTAAAAACTTTAATAGTGTTAAATGTTAAAATAATTCCAAATTTATGAGAAAAATAAAAGAAATATTAGGTATTAAGTATAAATATTAAATTAGGAAATATTGCCACTGCTTTTGAATATTTCAGATATCCTCATCTAAAAATTTTCCAAAAGTTCATGAAATTGGCTGTAGATTACCAAAATTTAATAAAAGTCACCATAACCATTTTACATATTTAGTTGCTTTAATGAAAACAATTGAAAATCAAGAGATTTAGATATAAATTTGTTTCATTACATCAAACTATTATAAACTGACTATAAATTTTCGTTAGCAAGATGATTGCATGATGTGATTCTTCCACAATTGTAAAGGTTCTGAATTCTATTCAAACCATCAAAATTTACAATATATTGTTCAAATTGAAAACTTTGTATTCCATTTCTTCTTTCATGTTGGTTGTGATGACAACCATAGCAGATCACGGCTCCATAATTTATCCTTATGTAATGCAAATAATGACATTTTCTATCCAGAAAATAAAAACTTGAAAATGGAAGTAAATACAATGAAATAATATTAATTTAAAAAATAATTAATATAACAGCATTCAGAGTATAAAAAAAATAAATAATAAAGTCCTACAATACTGCACATACTCATGTTCACAGAATAATTTCATCTTTAAATATAAGTAAATTTGAAATTAAGATTCTTAATCCAGATTTACTTTTTTCTTTAAATTAGTTTTCAGTTGATTACATTTATATTGATGTAATTAATAAATAAGATAAATGATAATTAAAGTATCAAACAGTCAAAACTGTCAAATGGAAATAAATAAAATTTAAAATCCTTATATTATCATTATGTAATTTTTTAAAATTGAATTACATTTTTACACTACAAGTTTGCTCATTCATCATTTTCACATTTTTTAAACATGTATATCTTATGTGAATAACACTATAAATTTATTTTCATAACTGCTTCCATATAATTAGTTCAAATATATTTTTGTTTTCAATGTAATTTGATAATGAAAATTCTGTTGAGAAACTTTAGACATTATCAGATCAAAAACTATTCTGAAAGCAAAAATATTTTTTCTGATTCCACAAATTTACTTAAAGTTAATTACAAGAGATCCTAGATATAAATTTCTAGGATCTCTTGTAAATTTGTGAAAATGAACAAACTTGTCACCATAATGAAATCAAAAACAGAATAAATTGTTTATTTAAAGAAATATGTAATCAGAAATATTTTTAGTCATTATTCAAACCATTTTTACTTTACAAATACACCTAATTATACAAATAATTGTCAGAAAATTAATCAAATAAATGAATCTAATGATGCACAGAAATATATGGTTAGATGTAACATAAAGAAAAACTGAAAAAGAGGAAACAACATGCCACACAAACATCAGACCAAACAAGATTATGACCTATGACAAAAAAAATGTAAAAGTGCACAAACAGTAGATAGTGCCATCAAATACAAAATATGTCTTAGCACACAGATATTACATTTTTACCTTCTTTCACAATAATTTTAGAAATAGTTGATATTAAAACAAGTAGAATTACAAAAAGATACAAATATTTGTATTGTGAAAATATATATGATAACTTTACAGCCAGTATATTAGAGAAACCATTAATTATAAAGTTTATAGAGAGTAGTGACCATCAGAAATTTCTGTAGATGTAAAAGATCTTTTGAGGAATAAATAATTATGGATTACAATTTAGAGAGCAAAATCCATAAAGAAATTACCATCTTCTTGCAAGAACGTTGTTATATGTGTACTGTATTTACTATTTTTTAAAAACTGTTTTCTGGCATTACCGCTTTGAGGTTTATGTCTTAAAAAAAATTCGTCTAAATAAAAAATTTCATGATGCACCCATTCCAAATTAATAATCTGATATTTAGTTAGCATAGAGAATACCAATTGGTAAAAAAAATCTTAAAAATAATATAATATCTAATAATAATTAAAACAAGTTTATTTTCTTAACGTTACATCAAATAATTATTAAAAAATTTACACTTTTTCTTTATAAATTATATTTTATATCATCATCTATGGAAATATTGTGTTATATAAAAAATAAAATTTGCAAAATTTATAAAAAGAAATGCATTTTTTAATAAAATAAATATATAGTTTGAAAATATGCAGTTTTTCTAGTATATCTTTGTCATATAAATTCTGTTTAATCAAATAAAATGTTTGTTCTAAAGATAAATGATAATCATTGACACTTATAACCCTTATATAAATAACTGTAGCTATATATAATTTATTGTATATAATTATTAAATTTTTTTTTACTTTAGAAATTTGATTACTAGAATTTTCCTATATAGTATTTATATTAGTCAGTATGAATGAGTTTTGTCTGAAAAGCATAATTTCTTCTTCTGTCTAATGCAGCTGATAACTGTCCTCCACTTTGACTGTGATATCGTCTTTCAATGACCTGAAAAACATATAAATCATCATTAGTGAAAGTACATAAAGTTTAATTATGTTAAAATTTTAAAACTTTTCTTTTAACATGATAAAATGAGGAAATGCTATTTGCTTAATTAGTAATTAAGTACAACTACTTCCTACATTAATTATGTAAATAAATATTCTCATCATAAGCTGCATTATACTGTAAATGTATAAAAGAAATAAAAGTTTAAAAATATATGTACTAACTAAGCACATTTGCAATTACAGTAGAACCTCCATTATCCGGATTTTCAATTATCCGGATTGTTTAAAATAAACAAAAATTTTACGAATTTGCTGATTTGCACTTGGCGAATTACGACACTATTTATGTACGTGATGGAATGCATAACTTTTTTTGTTTCAACAACGTCTCACCCAGTACAGTGGTCGTAAACTCTTAAATATATTTTACGTAGTAATAAAAATATAACTTGACATACGTATTTATAAATAATTTATATTCAAATTACATCATTTCTATGACCAAGGGCGGCGTAATGCATAAACGACGTGGGCCACCGCCTATGTCTCGCGGTCTGAAGGGCCTCGCGCCTTGAAGGTTTAAGCATTACTTAAAAGCCGTGAATGCGACAAAAAAATTTTACTCGTCATAAAACGATAAATAGTTTGTCAAATTTTTATTCATAAAAATGCAGTTTTAATTGCTTTTTATTTTATAAAATCCGTCTTCTTGCGCTACCAGAGGGCCTTTTAAACAATAGGTAGTCTGTTAGCGTTGGTCAGTAGTAGTCCAAATTCAATACGAACGTTTGTTTCTTGAAAATTTGATCACGATTTAAATACAGTATTTACTTTTAATATTACAGATATGTCATCAAAAAGAAAACGTGTTGTATTATCATTAAAAGGCAAATTAAAGTATTTGTTTTCGATTATCCGGATTTTTCCTTATCCGGACTACCTTCATCCCCAATTAGTTCAGATAATCGAGGTTCTACTGTACTTTATAATTGCTCTGTAACTATTACCATAATTTGAAATTTTTTAAACTTTTCTGTCACTTAGATTCAGTTATTGCATGAATGTTGATGTGTTGTGATCTAACAATATTAATCATTTTCAATAATAATATTTATATTGATGTATTACGAATTTTTTGGGGGAAAAAATTATTTTTCATATATTTTCATACATTTTAGATCTAACAAGACTATTAATATGTAAAAAGCTTAATTAAATACTTGAAAAATATCTAAGGAGGTGAATGAAAATATTATAAGTACTTGTAATTTTTTATTACTAGTACCTGATAAATTCTAAAAATTGTAACATTTGTTAACATTTGATTATTTTCTGAATTAATACTGAATACAATATAGTACTTTCAAAACTTTTGACCTTTCATATCTTCAGTATGATATCAAATGCTTATTCTGTTTTCCAATTTTTATTTTCCTTATCTCTCTTTTATTATAAAATTATTGAACTGTTTGCTATAATATAAATGTAATATGAAAATGAGCAATTATTTATTGTGACATTGTCACAATAACAGACTGCAATTTTTAATCATATTTTTAATTTATTTAATTTAAAACATATGCTCTCCATCTCAAATTAGTACTGTAGTGTATTGTCCCTGTGCATCATAGTTTTCTGTTAGCAATGGAGTCATGCTGGTCATCTAATAACTGCTTTTGGGAAAGTTTTGAATTGAAATAATGTGACTTCCAGTTATTGTCAATGTTATATTTGTGTTCTCTGAGTTTGGATGAAGCCAAATTAATAAGACAAGCCTTCAATGACCAACACCAGAACATCAGAAGTTTAGAAATGCTGGAGATAAGTGAAGCCTCTTTAAAAAGAAATTGCATAAATCACAAAGATTGTGAATCCTTATCAGCTGCATAGTAATCATTTTATGGTATTCTGAAAAAGATCTCAAAAAGGTGCCCACAACTTATAATATTTTTGGGGAAGATCAATCAAAGAATTATTAACAAGTTTCAAAATAGGATGCCATTTATGAAGAAACATGGACATTACATCATTTTAAAAATTCTAAATTATTAGAGATATGTTTGTTTAAAATAGCCAAAGCAAAATTTAACAAATTATAATTTTTACAGATAATAATTTATTCAATAAAAATAAAAAATTTTATATATAACTTACTTTATCAAAAAATCTACTAAGTTTTACAGCATTACTAGATCCAGGAGCAAATGATTTTGCTTGATGATTGTCCTATAAAATAATAAATTAAAAGCAATTGAATATGTAACTCTCAATATAGTATTATATAGCATAAAAATATAAATGAATTTGTTTCTACATAAAATATTAAAATTATTTCTATTTTCAATGATAATATGTTCATATAATATGCAATACCACTGTTATTTCATCTGCTCCACATTCCTCAGCAACAGATGAGATACGACTTATTCTCTCTGAAGTAAGAACTTGTGGAACAAGATCCTGTTTTGTTCCTATTACAAGAATAGGAATCTGATTATCAACAAATTGTTCTGGATCATATTCATATCTAAAGATTAAAATAAATGTATATTTATATATAAATAAACAATTTTACAAATTAATTTTAGAATATAAATTTTAAACCAAATATTTATCTATTTTAAAGTACAATACATATGTATTAAATTTACATTCAGCAAAAATAATTCTTGAACTTGGAACCATATTCAAAAAGATGAGTAAAAATGCTTAATTCTGAAAACCAAATTAAATTTTTATTCAGTAACATTTTCATTCTTTTATAAGAACATCACCAGCTGTGAAAATTATCAAGTGTGTCAGAATGAATACATTTGAAAACAGAGAACATCTCTATATTCAAACATTTTCAAATTTAAAATTACAAAGGAAAGTTATAATTATTAAAAAATTAACTAAATGAAGTGAAACCAAAATAAATTAAATATAGGAAATTATAAAAAAATCAAATTAAATATAATACACTATAACATTAAATGGAGACTTGTGGCCACCTACACAGCATGATCTTCAACAAACACCTCCTGTGTATTGATGCTGCTTCTAGATACAGTTAGAAAAGATTTTTTGAATAAAAAAGGAGTATAAAATAAGCATAAGAGTATAAAATAGCAGTCCATTTACTATCTAAGACAAAGGAGTCATGAGCATTAATAATGCTAAGCTTACATGTGAAAAAATATATACAGCATTGCTCCATAAACAAAATTGTTTGGTTATCTGCCCAGCTTCTAATGGTTATAGGGCTTCAACAAACCTGGATCTTCTTATCTAGTGTCCGTTGTATTAATGCCATAGCACTTTGCTTATTTTTCTCTATTGAGTCATAGCGCTTCTTAAAATGAAGCCATACCATTCTGTATATTAATCTATGTTGTAAAAATGCTCTTCTCCCTTAGTAATTTAATTTGATTTCCAAAATTAAGCATTCTTTTCTCTTCTTTTAAAATTACATTTATTACAATTTAATTAATAATAATATATATTAAAAAATATTTAAAATAAAATTTAATTCAATGTCCATTATACCGTATTAGCCCGAATATAACGCGACCCCGAATTTAACGCGACTCCAAAATTTTCATAAAGATATTTAGAAAAAAATAATACTCATAAAAGAATTCAAAGAAAGTAAAATTCAATCAGATAAGCATTTATTTAGGTAATTATAGCTAATAACACAGGTTACATTCATGTCAATAAAATTAAGTAATCTATATATATAAAAATGAATGTATGTGTGTGTGTGTGTGTCTGTCTGTCCTTTATGCATTACCACACTGTTTATCCGATTGCCGTGAAACTTTGGGAAGTTTTTTAATACACTCGAAGGTTTCTGGCATTTATCCTACGATAGATGTCGCGCGTTTACACGAGCATTCGAGCACTGTGTGTTCGATCGATTTCAAATTGTGAAGACCATTTCCCCCTTTCAAAAAATATCTCTATATATGCATTTGTCAACTGTTATTTACGATATTTGTAATAATTTTTGTTTAACCACTTTATTTCGACTTTTTTGCTAATTTTGTATTTGCTCGAAATTCGTTAAAATCGTAACTGCACCCCGAACAACGACAGAAGTTGTAGGAAGAAATTCGCGTATTTTACCGATCTAGGTATCCTCCTTTTCCAAATTTTAATATCGACTCAAAATAATTTAAAAAGACCAATTACTATAAAACAGTTTATTATCCAACTATCAGAAATTTCACAACATGCCAAGGAAGAAAGAAAGGAGCAATTAAATAATTAAAATTGTAAAGGATTTAAAATATATATATATAAAAATGGGGAATATCGTACTTTGACAATCGCTGCCAGTGTGTGGTCTAACTTTGGAAAATCCGTGCTTCTCATGTGTACAACTGTATGTGGCCAGCTCACGCGTCGGAAAACCTTCTGATTTATTCGTGTACGCACCAGAGGAAAAAACAAAAAATATCGTGTATCCACAAACACTCCAATAAATAAATAGAATTGAAACGACACTTTCAAATGTTGTCCCGATGAAAATGAATAATAATAATAAGTTTCAATAAAAATGATAAAATGTATATTGAATTTTATCATAACGAGTTTGCTTGAATTTCCTTTCTTCTGAGATCGCAGCAATGCGCGACGGGCAAGCTAGTTTAATATAATCCAAATATTTTTTCGAAGTCTGTACGCGTTTTTTTTTTCCTTTCGAAAACTTTAAAACCAAAGATTATATATTCTTTAATGGTATAGCTGGTTGTTTCAGCCATTATTAATGTTACTTTATATGAAACGTGCATGTGATGAAGGGCGTCACAGAGGGAGCAAACGGGGCACTTGCCCATTCCGTGGATCTAATAAAAAATTGTACAAAATTGAGTTATGTAACCTTACAAGATAGGACGCTTTGTTTGCCTTCTCGTATTGATGCTATAGTGTATTTTACGGTATACTTGTAAGAGAAAAACCAAAAAATAAATAATTAAATACTGATTTTACGCTTTGCTCCATAACCGAAAAGGCTTATATCTTTTAATGTCTGTTAGATAGATGTAGTGTGTGTGCCGCGGAAAGCATACTGTATAAGAGTAAAACATGGCATATTATATACTCTGGTTATTATTTTTAAAAAAGTAGTAATAATGCAGAGCCAACATTAATTAAAACTGTAGATTTGTTTTAATTTTAATCTTCTAATTTATAGAAAAATTTTATGTCCCAATTTGATAGAAAAAGTCAATACTCTTTTTATTGTAGATTTATATGAAGTTTCCTTTGTGTATCGATATAGAGAACGACAAAAAACGGGTAAATCTCAGTGCGTTGAGAAAAGGTATACGGCTCCATCTCGGAGCGCAAATAATAATTAAGTTTGACTAATAGAAAATTCTATAAAGTATTTTTAAAGGCACCATCGATGATCCTTTCCGAGACAGATTAAATAGTTTCTATTCCGAGTAGAAAATAAAATAAACAAAGAAAAAAAATGTCGAACGTAGTCATAAATAACAGTTTCGAAGACAATTCTGTCGGCTGGGAGCGGTGGCTCGTTCCTGTAATCCAGCTTCTGGGAGGCCGGAACTAGAGGACAATTTCGAGGATAGAAAATGCCTTCGCGAAGTACTACGATGACCGGATGTCCGCACGAGGAACGACATTATTTCTACTATGAGCCATAAACGTTTTTTCGGTGGTCGAAACGAACATTCGGGGCCATCACATGTCTTCCAAGACACACAAGAGGCAAAAGCCTCCGCGTCGTTCGTTAGTGCGGTGTTCTGTGAGTAGGTCCGTGTGGGTATTCTTCCGATACGGTTGGACCTAGTTCTGTATTTTTATAGTTTTTATTTTACGCGAACGACTAAACTTAATTATTTCAAAAGTTATGATTTAAAAATATATATTACATTCAGTTAATTGTTGCGACAATGATTCAGGCAAATAGGCGAGCTACATCATTGCTGGGGCATCTGGGAAAGCGGTTCACTTTTT